TCTTGCCACCAGGCCACCAGAGCTCCCAACAGCCTCTTATTTTCCAGAGCACTTTTTAATGGTATTTGTTTGAATTCTAATTCCTAATGTAAGGAGGACACACATCAGTCTAGTAGTTTCTGCTTCTTTTTGACTCACACCTTCCTTAGTTTCTGAACTTCTTCTCATAAGACCTAACCCTTTTTAAGAGCCAAGTCAGCTGTAGTCTTAACCTCTCAGTTCTCTGTCCCTCTTCTCCCTCACTGCAAGAGCATTTTATTTTATCTTCTTTCCCTAAGGAAGACAAAGACGATCCAGTCAGGCCTTTACCCTCTCTTCTAGCCTTCCCTTCCTGACTCATCCATGGTTCACCCCTTTTTTTGCCAATATGATAACAGTGACTCATTGGGATTAGAAATGGGATTAGGTCTGTTGGATATGATGAGATTGGCTCAGGATAGGGCAGATTTCAGAGCTCGTGTACATAAGGTTGCTGTGACTTGATGGAACATAACAACAACAACAACAACAACAACAACATAGCAATGAACAAAATAATTTTACCAATTGGCAGTTTTGATTAAAAAAAAAAAAAGCAACAGATTTGTTACTAGGCAATCAGGAAATATCAAGCAAGCCCAAAGAATGAGTGAGAAAGGACTCCATTACTGTTAGGTGCCATTTCTTAAGCTGCTAGGCTCCCTGCGCCACCCTCATAACTGTTGCTATGTTTCAGCGTATTGGTGCAGCCACTGTTGATCCATCTCCTTGAGCATGTCCTCTTCTTGCTGACATTCTACCAAGCATGATGTTCTTTCCCAGTGATCGGTCCTTCCTGGAAATATGTTCAAAGCATATAAGATTCCACCCTCCTCATGTCTAAGCATTCGGGTTGCACTTCCTTTAAAACAGATCTGTTTGTTCTGGCATATCTGTCTTTGGTTTATGTAAGAGTTTTCCCTTTCAGCATGCAAGGTTGTGTCATCTGCATATTACAGTTGTTAATGAGTCTTCTTCCTCTAATCTTTATGCCTTCTTCTTCCTCATAGAAGTCCAGATGCTTAAATTGGTCACTCAGCATATAGAATAAATTAGTATGATATGTATCCTTTCTTATCATTAAATAAGAAAAGATACAACCTTGACTTACACCTTCTTGATTATGAACTTGTTCTTTTTTGGTGACTTCTTCTTGTCCTATGTTAGTTTCAAATGAGCACAGTAAATGTTCTGGAGTTCCCATTCTTTGCAATATTACCCACTATTTGCTATGTTTCAAACAATAGATAACTTTTGCATAGTCAATGTGGTTGTTGTTGTGTACTGTTGAGTAGGAACTGACCCTTAGCTGACCCTCCAGTGAGTTTTCAGTCAGTAAGCCAAACAGGAGGAGAATGCCCATCTTCTGAGGAGCAGCTGGTGGATTTGAACCGTGTGCCTTCAGATGGCATCACAGTTTCTTACCATGAGGCCACCAGAGATCCCTCTGCATAGTCAATAGTACAAATAAACATCTTTCTTATATTCTCTATTTTCAGCTAATCTGTCTGACATCAGTAATGTTATCTATCATTGTATGTCCTCTTCTGAATCTGGCCTGAATTTCTGGCAGCTCTCTGTGAACGTATTGCTGCAATTGTGGGTTGTTGTTTTTTTTATTACCTTCAGCAAAACTTTACTTGTTTGTGATGCTGATATTGCTTAATAATTCTCAAATTCTATTGAATCATTTTCTTTGGAATGAGCACAAATATGGAAATCTTCCAGTCGATTGTCATGTCATTTTGAATGTCTTTCAGTCATTGTCATGTCATTTTGAGTCATGACTCTTCAGCAAATGAAGTTCTGAAAGCTTTTGTCCATCTGTGTCATGAGGATTGATTCTACTTTGAATGAGATAGCTTTTCTCTTGTGCTATTTTGAGTGCCTTCTAATGTAGGAGTCTTACATTTCCAGCACTGCGTCAGTCAATGCTCTGTTGCTGTTCCCAAGATTTTCATGGGCCATATTTTTTTTCAGGAGTAAATTTCTATTCTTTCTTTCTAGTCTGTTTTAGTCTGGAAGTTCTGCTCATAATTGAAATACTAGTGGCATAGCTTCAGCATCACAGCAGCAGACAAGCTACCACAGTACAGCAAACTGACAGACACGTGGTAAAAGACTCCATGGGTAGGTCTAATGATATTGAATAAACTTTAGGAATAATCACCCTTGAGATGATCTATGGATAACCCTTGGGATGACATAATGTCAATATATCGACTGTTTACTTATTGACTTGTTATTTAAATTTTCACATTTATAACAATAGTAAAAAATATATGCTACCCAACTATTTTGCACATTAATGATATATGTCTGGCAGTAACAAATGCTGAAGTGCAAGGTGTGAGTAATACTGGTTGACTTGTCTGGGCCTTGATCTCAATAGTTAAACAAAGAGATAATCATCTTCCATTTTTTGTATAACATTAATTTTTAATGTATCATCTTGATCTTTAGAACCTTACAATGCAGATAAATGAGGTGTGGGTGTACTTAGCACACATAATGCTGGGTAGCAGACACACTTTTAGGTAGTTAAGCTAGATTAACTCATTACTACTCAAATTGCCTTGTAAAGGAGTTGTTGTTATTGCTGAGTACCATTGAGTCAAAACTGACCCATAGCTGACCCTCCAGTGGGTTTTCAAATGCAGTTAATCACGGAAGAGGAGATTGCCCATCTTTCTTCCATGGAGCAACTGGTAGATTTGAACCAAGTGCCTTTGGGGATTGCAGTGCAGCTTCTTGTCACTAGGGCTCCTTCTTGTAAAGGAGTATAAGGTGTTGTTATTACTGTTACTATTGTTGTTATTGTTGTTGTTTTGGGTGACTGAGTCATAATTGACTCATAACCGACTCTCCAGCATGTTTTCAAAGGCTGTAAAGCCCATGGGAAGATATTACCCATCTTTCTTCTGTGGAGCAGCTGGTAGGTTTAAACCTTCTGCCTTTGGGTTGGTAAAACAACTCCTTACTTCTAGGTCACCAGAGCACCATGAGTATAAAGTACTACCCCTATTTTGAAGGAGAACACTAGGGACCAGAGAGGAGATTCAGCAGCTTGAAAATCTAATCAAGGTATTCTGGCTCCAAACTTGCCCACAACTGTGTCCCAGGAGCTTAGATTCCTTGGATGTGCTCATTGTATTCTTATGCACCTGAATCTAGTAGCTAACATTCTATTGTCTACACTTTTGAAAGAGAGCTCTGGTGAGCCTAGTGGTAAGAAACTGTGCTGCAGTCCAAAAGGCAAACGTTTTGAATCCACCAGCTGCTCCACTGGAGAAAGACGGGCAATCTCCCATGTGAAAACCTGCTGGATGGTCAGCCATGGGTTGGTTCTAACTTGATGGTACTCAACAGCAACAACATACTTTTAAAGGGAATACTTTTAACTGTGTGGCATGAAAAAGTTCAATAGTTTTAAAGGCAGATTTTTTTCCTACTTGTGGATGTTAAAAGGAATCTGTCTTCCCAGAGCTCAACATTAAAATGATAGCAGATCATGGTTAAAGTCAAAACCATCTGTTTATTAGCCTGAGTTTAGTATTTAGAGAGATCTTGGACAATGCTGGTTCATAAAATGCTAGCAAGAAAGTATCTGCGGATTTTAGTTTAAAATGGATCTTCAAGGTGGCTATTTCCTGCGGACCTATACAGAGTGGGACTCCTTGTCCCTCTTACAGGAAATGGAAGTAGGTCATCCCTGCTTGATTTAAAAAAAGGAACGTGATAACCTCTCGGGGGGTCCCAGTTACCTGGGTTAGGAAATGTCCCTAGAGTCTCATGCTAGTCCTTCCCCAACTCATCCACCTCCCCCTTCTTTCTACTTACATCTCTGCCCAGATAACCTCTTTTATCAATATGACCTTCCAGGTTCTCAAAGTTATTGCAATAGTAAAAGATCTAAAATCTACCAAACGCAAATGCTTCTTGTTCCAGAAAAAAAAAATAGAGATCCAGATAGAGAATCTCTAGTAAGTCTTCTACTTTCTTCCGCTTCCTGGAACTCACAGGTCCTGTGGGCAGCTAAGGCATCTTGGCTTCTCTAACTCTTTGGTAATTGACTTGGTACTTAGCTCTTCTCAACTCAACCATGAGCTTTGAACACTTCAACCAAATGACTTTGTCCTGGGGATGTGGGGAAAACAGAGACCAGTATTTGCACATCCATGCATCCTTACCACAGGTACTTAGTGGAAATACTCAGTAAACCTGCCCAACTAGCTGAGACATCTTCCACCACGTTGCAATACGGATGAAATTAGTTGCTCAGGCACGGTCAGTACAGTTGCCTTGCCTACATTTTCCCTGGGAAATATTCTATACAGAGGTGGAAAACTACTGACCTTGGGTCTTCGCTGTTCAAAAAAAAGAGACAGCAGAGACTCTAGAGAAGCCATATCCTCTTTACTCCTAGAATCAACACTGAATTATCTGTGGCTAAGTCCCTGCTGATGGATTCTCCAGGACTTTGGCCTTTCACCTTGGGACTATTTATATTCATTAACATCCCCTCTAGAGAGAAAAAACCTCAGGCACTAGGTTACATTCACAGGAGTCTCTTCTCCTAGTAACTAACAGTCCTACAGAAGGGAGGGGGAGTGGAACGAAGAACTAGAATCAACATCTGAAATGAAGTTGAGAGTTATCCACAGGGTTTGCATTTGTTTTGTTTCTTATCTGTTTCTGTGACCACAAAGCACAGAGGATTGCTTTACTCTTGTGAGGTGCAGGGGAGAAAAAGGCGTTGGCTCCTGTTCTGACCTGTGGAGTGTGACTGGGCATACACTCTTCCTTACCATGATTAGCAGTAAATAAAGAACACTTGAATATGACAGTAAGTGAAAGTTATCTGCCTCTCTGTAGCCTCAGATCATACACTTTCTGATTCTGGGAGAGCAAACAGAAAAGTCCAAGGAAGTGAGGGCCCGAGGGCAGAAGTGTCAAAGGCAGAAAAGGTGAGACTTTGTTTGGTGATAAAATAAAATGTTTTAATAGAAGCTTTCAGAAAGGGCATCTTTTTCTCTTGTTGCCAAAAGCAAGTTCTCCCACCCTGGAGTTTTTTAGGGGTGCCCTGGCTGAACCCCTAACCTCACAAGGAGCTAGGTTGGTACTCTGATCCTATGTTCGGCCGCCCCTCCAGGGATCTGGAGGTGTGTCTTCGCATCAGGCAACTGGAGTTAGCTGGCAGTCAGACCAAAATGTACAGTCATGATGTGAGTCTAGGCCTGAGGCGGGGGCAAAGGACTTCACTTCCAACTTAGGGTATTTCTTCATGGAGGGAGAGGAAAGGAACAAATCACTTTTAAAAGTTTAAAAGTTCAACTCTGACCTTTACAAAGAAAACTAATAAACACTTTAGTAATATATATACACCAAAGATAAGGGAGAGGAAGTACAGGGGAAATTGCACTTAATTAGTTTATAATTTACACCCATTGGACAAATTTACTTCTTTAAAAGAAATCTCAAGATGATTTGGGTATGAAGGCAAGGGATGGAGTTTGCTGATATTTACAGTGTATTTGGCTCAGTTCAATAGCATGCATCCTCCTTTCCTTGTTTTCGTAACAGATTCAAGTTTTCTCATGAGTTTGTTCGATGACGGAGCATAATGTAGACGCAGCTTTCTCTCTTCCTCTTCTACTTGTTTCTCGTCTCCCACGTCTAGGACAGACAGGACGTGGGGAGAGGCATCATGACAATACTGCACAGAAGGGAAGCTGGGCTTCAGGCTGGGCCTCCCAAGAGCGGATTTTCCAAGAAGCCAGCAGGATGGTAGGTAAGCTGGGACTTCTCACACGTGCTCCTCAGGTCACTGGGCTTTCCCATGACAATAGCCCAGAAGGTGATGGTGTGGAAAATAGGATCCTTGTTGCTACACACAAAGTGAATGGTGTGTGGTCATCACCAGGCTTGGAGAGGACACTGCAGAGAGAGAGAAGGAGAGAGAGCTCAGCTCTTTGTACACAGTGGAGACTGGGCCATTAGACTGGCTTCTCCAAGAGAATCAACATCCCAATCAGCCAACAAAGAGGCTGGTGGAGGGCTGGAGAATCAATTGTGAGTTTATTCTGCAATGTTGGTCCAAATGCAGACTCTCTTTAGGGAAAGCTGGGAGCCAGCTTTCTTGGCCACTTGAAAAGGAAAAAGTGAATTTCTAGGAACCTTGCTTGCTGTTCTTTATGTGGAAATTGGTCTCCTCTTTCTGTGAGCATGCTCAGTGTGGCTCAAAAGACAGGACTATGTTTATCTATAGGGGAAGCTCTAGCCTTTCACAGAAGTAAGAATTTCTTCCTAATACCTCCAAGACTGGGATCCTCTAAATCACAGTCTCCCAAATTTAATATATATTCAAGTACTGTTGTGTAACATCAAGTCAGAACTGACCCATAGCTGACTCTGCAGTGGGTTTTCAGAGTCAGCAAAACGCATGGGAGAAGATTGCTCATCCTTTTCCCGTGGAACAGCTGGTGGATTTGAGTGCCTTTGGGACTGCACTGCAGTTCTTACCACTGTGCCACCAAAGCTCCAAGTCCTAGGGACACTGATAAAATGCAGCTTCTTATTTCCTTGGCTTAGAGTGGGGCCTCAGTGTCTGTGTTTCTAATAAGCTCCAGGTTGTGCTGGGGTTGCCGAAACATATTCTGAGCAACAAGGCGATAAACAACACGAGGAAATCACCAATGATTCAAACTATCCCTCAGGAAGGAAGTGTGAGAGTGTCAAGTGCTTTCTGCCAGTTTCTGTCTTGTTCTGAGGTTAAGAGCCTCCTACTGGCTCGCCTTGTGATCTTGCTCTAATGACTCTTTCCACACCTCAGCTTCTTGACCTGTAAAATGAGATACTAAGAGATTCTACCTCAGGAAGGCTGTTGTAGAGATTCAAACAAACAAACACCCCACAAAACCCTATTGCCATTCAGTCAGTTCTGACTCATAACAGACCCTCCATTGAGTTTTCTGGGGCTGTAAACACATGGGAGGAGAGTGCTTGTCTTTGTCCCGAGGTGGATTTGAACCACCAGAAAAGTGGAGCTTTTGGGTCAGCATTGCAACCTGCCATGGACTCTGCCAGCAGTGGTCCCTTTGGGGAGATTAGAGCAGTCTATACATGTGCTGTGCTTGGAACGGTGCTGGGTATGTTTTGTAATTCCTAACACAGCGCTGAGCAAGTTCATGATGTTCTGTAGAGTCTTCTTAAGAGTAAAATTGAGCTGCACATTCATTTGAGGAGACAGGGGTCTGACCTTTTTAAATTCTTTAGGCTTTGGCCCGAGTCCTCTGATACCCTTTGCCTCCTCTTCCTCCCTCTACCCACCCCCACTCTCAAGTCTCTTTACTCACTACTATCAGCTTTTCCCCCAATTTTTAGATTTCAGGTGGAGGACAGAGAAAATGGCTTGTGACCTTGCAGGTTTCAATAGAAGAGCAAACAAGAAGGGCAGATAAGGAGACGCCAGCAAGATTCTATGACCTGTCTTTAGGGATGGGCTTCCCAGCTATCAAATGTTTGCTCACATAATAAAATGGTGGCAGAGCCCTAAATGTTGTCAGAGGAACTAGAGTTATTTGCCCCCTTTAGAGTCTAAACACAAACATCTGATAAGGGGTGCACTGTAGTCCCTCAGAACTCAGGGCCCCAGCCTGCCTGGACCCAGGGGGCCTGGTTCAATGGATGTCTGAAGCTCTGAGCCTGAGAGTAGCTATGGGGATTGTCTATGAAGGAAGCAGTTACAGTAGAGGGAAACTGAAGCAAAAGGAAGGATTCCTAGTATAGGTATATTTTCATTGAGAAAACAATGAAAATTGTTATCAGCTGTATAAGGAGCCCTGGTGGCACAATGCTGAAGCGTTTGGCTACTAAAGTAAAAGACTGATGGCTTGACTTGGTTCCATGGGAGAAAGACCTGGTGATCTGTTACTGTAAAGAATTGTTGTTCATAGAAAGTCCATATGACTCAGCTATTCCACTGCTTGGAATATACCCTGAGAAAAAGAGAACTGAATTATAAACAGAGAATTGTTCATAGCAACATTATTAACCATCACAAGAACTTGGAAACAGCTCAGATGTCCAACCACAATCGAATGAATTGAGAAATCATTGTACATTCACACAATGGAATAATATGCAGCACGCAGGAGCAATGCTTTAGCATATTACTACCTTACTTGGGAGGGACTGAAAAGCATTATGCTGACTGAACTAACTCAGTCCCATAAGGACAAATACTGTATAAAACCATTATTGATGAATAAGTATAAGGATATAAGGGGGGGTAGGGATGAGGATGTGTGAGGGGCGGGGGATGAGTTAGTCATAGGGTCGCACAATTTGACAGGAGGGTGTTGTGAAGGAAATGGGAAAGATCCAGTGTATAAAACAACATATTCAAAATTTGTAAATTAACCAATATAAAATTTTTAAAAAAAGAATTGTTGTTGCTGTGTGCTGTTGGTTGGAACACACCCATAGCTGACCCTCCAGCAGGTTTTCAGAGGCAGTAAAGTGCATGACAGGAGAGTGCCCATCTAGTTGTTTGTAATAACATCAGCTCTATCAGGCATGCATGTGCCCATGTTCATGCATTGTGAATAGGCAGTCAGGGGACAGGTCTGTGCATACTCGAGCCACGTCATGGAATTAGAAGAGGAGCATCAGAGAATGTGCCCTGGGCCCTCCAATATACACAGGTTGAGAAGATGAGGTGTCACTTCAGGAGACTGAGGAGTGGTTGGTGTAGCAGAAAAAGAATCAGGAATATGTGGGGCCCTAAAAGCCAAGTGAGAAGGGGAGGGAGTGATCAGCTGTGTCAAAGATAAAGACTGATAATTAATCATTAGAGTTGACAACATGTCCATGTTAGTGAGCTGGACAAGAGAGATGTCACTGAAATGGAGAGGACAAAAGTCAGTCTGAAGTCGCCTCAAGAGAGAATGGAAGGTAATAAAGTGAAGCTAATGATTATAAATGGCTCATTTTTTATTAAATAATGTTCGAGTAATAGAAATAATTATTCTAATTAAAACTATACAGCTAAGGGGACTAAGCGTATGCAACCAGCCCAGGATCTCACTCCTGCAAATGCGTGCCCCAGACCGTTTACTGGGCGCTCTGGTGGCCTGGTCCACAGGGAATCACACCGCTAACCCAAAGGCTGAGTTTCCCTAGCAGTTCAAACCCATCAGCAGCTCCTTGTGAGAAAATGGACAGTTTCCTCCTGTGCATTTTACAGCCTTGAAAACCCAGTGGAGGATCCACTATGAGTTGGTTCTGACTTGATGGCAGTGATTGAGTGAAAGACTTTATGAGATTGCTTCTCTCAATCTTCTGAATGTGGCAACAGGGTTGAAGTAAATATCCTTTGTCATTTAAGAACCTCTTTCCAAAGCTCTCGAGACACTCAAGGTTGTTGTCAGGATGGAAAGTTGAGCATGACTCGACTCTGTTTTCACATACTAGTTCTTGATTCTTTGGGGCCAAACACAGAGTTATAGGTTTTGCAATTCTTAATTGGATTTGTTTCTTTCTACAGGCGAGAAAACGGAGGCTTATAAAGGATAAACAATCTTCTGAGGTCATGGAGGCAGAAAAACAAACAAACAAACAAACAAACAAACACCTCAGTAGACTCTTGCATTTGGCTCTGCCTAATTCTAAAGCCTGAGTGCCTAACCATCAGGAAATACTGCCCCACTGCCCAGTGGGAGAGGAACAGATGAAGGGATTTATGACAAGGCTGCCCACCTCCTTCCTGTCAACATCCTTGACTGGTGGCTGCTCTGGAGGTCCTCTTTTGACCTTCCTATAAACTAAGAAGCGAGGCGGCGGCAGGTAGAGAAGTTGTGGAAATAGGAGTCGGCTCAGAGCCTGCCCACACTTGTTCTAACTGAGGTCAGCGCTTGCTGTGGTCTGTGTTCAGACTGCAGGGCATTGTTTCTCAGGAGCTTAGCACAGCTCACTCAGACAGTAACTTGTTGGCTCCCGAGTGAGGAGGAGGGAAGGAAAGAGGCGTATGCTCTGGAAAGGACAGATGGGAGTAGCTGCAGGAGGACTCTGAACAAGAAGTCCCAGCCTGAGTTTCCTGAAAAGTGAACCAACCACAACCCGCCCTGGGCCTGGCTGTCTTGACAACAGCAAGTATTAAGATTAGGCAGATACAATTTCACATCCTGGCTGAAGGAAACAAGGGCAGCGTGTTCACTACATAGCAACCAAATCTCTTGCGTGTCAGATTTCGACTTGCATAGGAAACAGGCAAGGCCCTTTGGTGGCATAGTGCTTGACTGCTAATTGAAAGACTTAGGGTCCGAATCCACCAGACACTCTGTGGGAGAAAGACAGACAGTCTCCTCCTGGAAAGATTTACAGTCCTGGAATCATGAGGGAGTATCATTGTGAGTGGAAGCTGACATGGTTGTGATGAGTTAGAGTGGACTTGGTTGATATTAGTTGATAACAGTGGGCTTAAAAAATATGTAGGAGATATGTTGAGCTCTGGTGGCCTAGTGGCAAGAATCTGTGCTGCTATCTTGAAGACACATGGTTCAAGGCTACCAGCTGCTCCACAGGAGAGGGATGGGTAATCTCCTCCCATGCAATTAACTGCCTCTGAAAACCTCCCAGAGGGTCCTCTGAAACCCCCCTGGAGCATCAGCTATAGGTCAATTCTGACTCTATGGTACAAAACAACATAGTGGTACGGTGGTTAAAACACTCAACAACTAACTGAAATGTTGGTGATTTGAACCCACTCTGCAGAAGATGTGACAGTGTGCTTTTGTAAGTATTTACAGCCTAAAAACTCCTTCGGGATCATTCTACTCTCCCCTAGAAGGCTGCTTTGAGGAGGGACTGACTAGAAAGTGGTGGCTTGGCTGGAGTTGGGTTTAGGCTGGTCGCCATCTTTGAACAGGGCATGTCGGCCCATTTCCTAAATGCACTGCCATTAACTCAATTCTGATAACCCTGTTGGACAGTGGAGAACCACCCCACAAAAGGCCCTAAAACCTAGCAAATGACCCTGGAGTCCGTTTTAGAAAATATTACTTTAAAATCAATGGGGGGGGGGGGGCAGGAAGCAGACTTTCTTTCCTTAGGAGCTCTCTTCTGACCCTTTACCTTAGAAATAGTCTGTAAACTTTTCTTCACCTTTTATCTGCATTTTACTTCATTCTGCCTTTCCCATTTCCTCCTTCTGCTTCAGTTTGTAGGAAGAAAGTTTCCTAATTGGAGTAGAGTTGTTGCTGTTGTTGTGTACCATCGAGTTGGAAATGACCCACAGCTGACCCTCCAGCAGGTTTTGAGAGGCAGTTAATTGCACAAGAGGAGGAGATTTTCCATCCTTCTCCCAAAGAGCAGCTGGTGGGTTTAAACCGTGTGCCTTTGGGATTTCAGAGCAGTTTCTTACCACTAGGCCATTAGAGCTCCCTAGCAGTCCAGTACATGGGTTTAATTTTTATTCAAGTTCCCAATCACTGATGACGAGAAGATTGGTGATTTCCATAGGTATTTGAAAGCAAGGCTTTCCTGGTGGAAAGAATTCAGGATTTGGAATAAAAAACTAAATTCTAGGGAGCTCTGGTGGCCTAGTGGCAAGGAGCTGCAACTACAATCCCAGAGGCACATGGTTCGAATCCACCAGATGCTCTGCCGGGAAAAGGAGGGATAATCTCCTTCTGTACCAGTCAGATCTGATTTGATGGTACACTAACACAAAAATAAAATAAAATTAAATTAAAAAAAGAAAGTGCATTTAATATATTTAAAAACAAACAAACAAAAAAAAAAACTAAATTCTAGAGGCCTCGCTCTAGAATTAATCATCTGTGTGACCTGGGCAGGCCAGGTCTGAGCCTCAGTTTACTTCTTAAAAGGTTGCAACAAAGGTGAAAATGATGAAATATTGTTTATGGGAAGTATAAATGGTTAAAGTGCTACATGAATACTTTTCATTCCTACTGGATATAATGACCACCATCATCATTTTGTCAGACTCCTGAAAAGTCCAGGGAACTGGAGAAAGATTCTAGAGGGTGGCTCGTGCAGCTTCAAGGTCAGATGGCCACTTTGTCTGGTGGCGGGAGGAAGTTACTCTGTGGCTAATGCAGCGTCTCAGAGAGCATCTTGATGTATTTTGATTAAGAGACCATTTCCAGAATTCAGGAGACTTGTTTCAACAAGCAAGCATCAAAGTCAACTTGGGAAAGACAGGAATAATTACTCACAGCCCATCTAGGGCTGACCAAGTGGCAGATGGATTGATAAACCTTTCAAAGGGGAAGGTATTCCCAAGGCAGGCTGCTGCGCCTGGCTGCCCCCCTGATTGAGATTTGTGAGCACAGATAAATGTTTTCTCTGCTCACTACAAAGAGTGGGAAATCACACAGGAGTCGAAGGGCAGGGCAGTGGGGGTTGTCTTTTCATCTTCCACTGGGTGAGAGAAGAGTGGCAAGACAGGTCCCACACACCGCTGCCTCTGCCCCCAGTTCCAGAGCCTGGCTGTCCAGGCTGTGTGCTTCGGCGAACTAGATGTGACGGGTGCTTAATCTACGTGACCTTGCTGAATCCTCAGAACAAGTATAGTACTAACTCTCATTATGCAGATGCAGAAACAGACACGCAGTAAAATCAAGGCCAACAAGCAAGTTACTAATCAGGAACAAAATAATTTGCATTACTCTACCACGTGGAGAGACCGGTCCTTAGAGAAGGACATCATGCTTGGGAGGGTGGAGGGACAGCACAGGAGAGGAAGGCCCTCTATGAGGTGGATTGATTCAGTGACGGGGTAATCGGGATGGGAGTGTCAGAGACAGTGCGATTGGCACAGGACAGAATAGAGTTTAGGGCTGTTGTACATAGGGTCGCTATGAGTCGCAAGCGACTCGATGGCACATAACAACAACATATCACGTGTGAGAGGGATGGGCAGTCTCTTCCCATCTAATTAACTGCCTCTGAAAATCCACTGGAGGGTCAGCTACGGGTCAGTTCCAACTGTTTGGCATACACCACCACCACCAAAACCACAGGCCCAGTAAGGGCTAGAAAAAGATTGGGCAAAGGAAAGAACAGAGACCCATATAGGTCCATGAATAGACCTGCTCTGAAGCTCACAGCAGTGGATAAAGTGTGATTCGCAGTGATTCAATGAAGAAAAAAAAAAGACCATTAGGAATGTCAATCTCGATGGGGAGCCTCTGACATGAAGTTCAAGGTTGTTACCTATTTATCTAGTAATCAATAAAAGCCAAACAGTTCCCACACTGCACAGACCCCAGCTACTAAAAGGCTCTATTGTATAACTCTGAAATCGTCATCAGCGTGCAGACTTCTTGCCCTGTCTTCTCACTCTCAGTGGCCCAGCAGTCCAGCTGTCTAGGCTACAGCAGCGATGAACATTGTTGACTACTCCACCCCCTCCGCTTGGATGTGGAGACTATCATTGACTGAAACAGAGACCAAAGCTCAGGATTCCCTATTCTTGGTGCAACAGAAAGTTGGTTCTAAGTTTCTTAATAAAAACACCAAATGAATGCAGCTCTCTTAGAAAGACCAAGCTGCCTGCTGGTGGAATCCCATATTGTTGTTGTTAAGCTACCACCCACACAGCAACCCTATGAACAACAGATCGAACCCTGCACCATCTGCATGATCTGTGACAAGCTCAAGTTCACAGTTACAGTCACTGTGTCAATCCATCTTGTCGGGGGCCTACCTCTCTTTCTCTGACCCTCTACCTTTCCCAGACTGAGGTTTTTCGCTAAGGTCTGGCCCTTCCTGACCACATCCAAAGTATATGAGATAAAATTATACCATCCTTGTTTTTAAGGAGCACGCTGTTGTACTTGATTTGTTCTCCATGACTTGTTCATTCTTTTCAAAGTCCATGGGATATTCAGTATTTTTCACCAGCACCACAACTCAAAGGCATTAAATCTTCTTCAGTCATCCTTACTCACTGTCCAACTTCCAGATGCATTAGAAACAACTGAAAATATCGTGGCATGGATCAGATGTACCTTAAACTGACTTCCTTGCTCTTTAGCACTTTGGGGAGGGCCTTGATAGCAGATTTTTTCCATGTAACATGTCTTTTGATTTCTTGACTACCATGGTGGCCTAGTGGTGGTAAGGTATTGTGCTGTGAACTCAGAAGTAGGTTGTTTGACCTTGTGAGCTGCAATATGGGAGAAAGACAGGTAATCTCCTCCTGTGCCATTTGTAGCATCTGAAAACTCAGTGGAGGGTCAGCAATGAGTTGGCTCTGACTCTAGGGCACAGAACAGCTACTACCTTGGGTGTTGATTGTGGATCCCAGCAAAATAAAATTGTTTACAACTTCAACGTCTATCATGATGTTGCCAGAATTGGGTCATCCCTGGAGCTTCTAATGATCTGACTGGAAACACTCTCAAAACCCTGTCTTATTTACTCCACTGAATCACTGTCGTCAGCTTGTGAAAAATCCTCAGGAATCTATCTTGCAAAGCAGGAAAGTCAGTAAGAAAGACCTGACTCTTGATCCCTTCTCGTTTCTCTGTGGGGCATCAAGTAATCCATCAGGGAAAACTCAATGGCAATGCATAAAGGCTCTGTGTAATTCAGTCTCTACTGACCGATCATGCTTCAGTCTTTATTTAGTGTTCTTGCTGGAGCAGGAGCAGAGAGAGTAATAAACCCAGTCACAGCCCCATTCCCCTCCTGCTGTTATTACCTGTTTACTGGATGACATGTTGGTGAGTGTACTGATGCTGCTGGTATCTGTCACCACCATCGCAGATGGAAACCTTGAAGTGTGTGAATACTGAGGGGGTTCTTGCTTGTGTGCATACACTGCAAAGAGTGAAGACAAAATCAAGATGGGCATGGTACAGGCATGCACACAGTTCCCGCCCTCTCCCCCCATTCCACACCCTAGCTCCATTTCCCAGGGCAGATAAAAGGTGGTGGTTGTGGCCACTCATGTTTAGGGAGGGACTGTCATATAGCAAAAAGAATGGGTGTGTGTTCAAATCCTGGATAGTACACAATCAAGTGACTTAACCTCACTTTCCTCATCAGTGATAACTATTTTAGAATTAGAAGGCATTATATATAAAGTACTTTGTACTAAGTAAACAAACAGCCTGGCCCAGAGCCTAAGATGTAGTGATATTCGAAGCTCTTCCTGTTCCTCTCACTTTTAATAAGATTTTAAAAGCCTAGGTATCAAACAAAGAGCCTTGATGGCACAGTAGTTAAAAAGCCCAACTTCTAACCAAAAGGCTGACAGTTTGAACCTACCAGCCACTCTGTGGGAGACAGATGTGGAAAGTCTACTTCTAGAAAGATGTAGAGCCTTGGAAACCCTGTGGGGCAGTTGTACTCTGTTCTACAGGGTTGTTCTGAGTTGGAATTGATTCCACACTGGTGGGTATGGTTTCAGCTGGGTTTCAGAAGAGAGCTTGGCTCATCTGAGTTTCCAAGCATAAAAAGCTCTCCGTAATGAGGGGACATTCAGGAGCCAAGAGTATATGCTTATCATCACTGCTGCTCCAGTGAGCACTCAAATGACATTAGCCTATGGAGCCAACAGGTGACTTGTGCTGTAGTTGTTGTTACGTGCTGCTGAATGGATGCCAACTCCCAGTGACCCAGTGCAACAGGGCAGAACGGCCTCACACAGTTTTCTAGGCTATACTCTTTATAGGAGCAAATCACTGGATTTTTCTCCTGCAGAGCCAGAAGGTGGGTTCAAACCATCGACTCTTCAGTTAACTGGTGTTTGGTGATACCACCAGGGCTTTTGAAAGGACACTAGATTCAAATAAAACCTCTAGAAGCACATGAGTGGCTTTTATTTCTGGTTCCTTCCCCCTACCCTTTTAAGTTTTTCTAGTACTTGGTCTGATTCACGGTAGTTATCCGTAAGATTCATGACAATTCTTCCAGGTTACATAACCAACAAATGGCTGAATGTGATATTTGGTTGTGAAGGAGGGACCACCCTGTTCATAGAATACAGAGCCCAATGTGGAGTCACTAAGAAAGGAAGGTGAGTGAAGGTCACCGGCCAAGCTCTTTCTGGGCAGAGAGGCTGGTTATTTCCTGGCCAAGGGGCCTACGGGACATCTCTTTGTAACCAGGTAGGTGTGCTGGGCTTGGGGAGTCTACAGACTGCTAGTGGCCATGCTCTGACTACCCTACTCAGGCCTGGCCACCTAAAAGCCTGTCCAGGTGAGGGAGAAGGGGGAAGTGAGGGAATACATGACCAGGCTCTGAGGGAAAGGGGAAGGGCACATGTGGTCCCTGACTGCTACAGGCTCTGGCAGATTTTTAGAAGCCACAAATATGTGATTGGAATGTGAGATGGTGCTCAGGAACCAGCTCCACAGGCTTGAGGAGGGATTGAGCCAGGAAGATAGAAAAGGTCTGAACCTGGTTGTTGCCCCTCAGATCCAAAACTCTCCGCCGGAGGCTGACAGGGAGAAAACCAAATTCCCTTGCCCATCCTCCTAGGAACCTCTTAATGGAAACAAATAAACAAAAATCACCATGTTTCTGTACCTGTATGCAAGCAAAACATAGTTTTCACCGATTTTTATTTCCTCATCATAATGGCCCAAAGACACTTGATTCAAAGTCCACCAGCTGCTCTGTAGGAGAAGGATGGACAATCTCCTTCTATGTGACTAACTGCCGCTGAAAACCCTCTAAGGGTCAGCTGTGGGTCAGTTCTGACTGATGCTACACAACAACAACAACGGCCCCGAATGGATATTTCCCCCATCTTAATATGGCTCCATATCAAATGGACTTCCAAAAGAACAAACAGATATGTCTTAGAGAAAGAGCGGTCAGAGTGATCCTTGGAGGTAAAGGTAGCAGTTGGGCATACTGCTAGGAGGGGTTAGTCCTTGGAAAATAAGAGGCTCAGCAAAAGACATGAAGACCCTCAATGAGATTGATTGACACCGTGACTACAGCAACGTGCTCGTGTATGTCAGAGATGATGAGGACAGGACAGGGTTCAGGTCTGTTGTTCATAGGGTTGCTATGAGTTGTACTCAATGGCATATAACAACAACAATACATGCATATTATTTCCAGGATGAAGGAACTGAGGCTCAGGGCAGCTAAGTAACTTGTCAGTGACTACACAGCAGGTAAAGGAGCCCTGGTGGCATGATGGTTAATCACTAGGCTGCAAACTGAAAGTTGAAACCCATAGGAGTTCCTAAGAAACCCTAGAGAGCAATTCTATGGTGTCCTATAAGTAAATAAACTGGATGACATACACCACCACCACCACCTCGCTGGCAAGTATCAGAGGCAGGATTTAAATTCAGGTCTTTCTAACTCCAGGACTCGCATTCTATTCCAAAGACTTCTCTAGAGTTCTTCTGATACTATTCCTGAGGCAGGGAAGCCATTCCTTCCACAGTGCCTCCCCAAACTTGGAGACTATAGCCTGTACATAAGTCTAGCTAGAGACCTATGAGTCTGGGGAGGAGGCAGAGATACAGGGACGGTGGAGTAGATGGGAAATGATCATTCAAAAGATCCATTTAAGGCACAAGCAGAAATTAGGGGCAGGGGAAGGGGTGGCAAGCAGGGAACAGAAAGAAACTCTAATACACTTTGTCCAAGGTGGTACAAGAATGGCATTTTCCATTGTTTATAAATTCTGGAATTCTGGAAGAGTCTTCTGTTTCTTGTCTCTCCTTTTTAAAAAAGAATTTTCTATTTCAAGGAACAGGTTTCAAATTACATGCCAACCAACCTCATTTGGCAGGGCCTGATTAGAATTTGGAGTTGAGACTCAACTCCGTGACACCCAACAAGTTGGGAAAAGTGCCATGGCTGATTGGTGATGTCTTCCTTGGATGCTGCAATGGGAAGTTAGGGCATGCATTCCACACAACTGCTATCTCTGCTCTTAATCTCCAACTCTGCTTTACATGCAGGCCTAACCTATCCTCTTCAACCGTTCTACTTTGAGAAACTTGTACTGGATAAAGGAACCAGAAAAGGCACAGCAATATAAGAGCTGTGTTTGTGAGATTGTCTTGGTTGGTAGTGTTGTTGTTGTTGTTATGTGCCGTCAAGTCATTTGTGACTCATAGCCACCCTATGTACAACAACCCTAAACTCTGCTCTATCCTGTGCCAATCTCATTGCCTCTGACACACCCATACCAATTACCCCAGTCACTGAATCAATCCACCTCATAGAGGGTCTTCCCCTCCTGCGCTGTCCCTCTACTCTACCCAGCATGATGTCCCTCTCTAAAGACCTGTCTCTCCTTACAACATATCCAAAGTATGTCAGACGAAGCCCCAGAATCCTTGCCTCCAAGGAGCAGCCTGGTTTAACCCTCTCTAGGATGAATCTGTTTGTTTTCTTGGCAGTCTGTATTAGTTAGGAAAAAAGTGCCTAAAGCAATAAGCTTACTAGAGAGTTTGGGTCAAGTGAGGGGAACAGGCTCATAGGGTGCCCTTCATGCTCTCATTCCCCAGCCTGCTCATGTCCTTACTGTGTGAGTTCTGCAGCTGTGTCACGGCGGCCATGAAGGGCTGCTGAGCCATGTGGCTGCCTGGGCTTTGTTGCATGAGGGGCTGCTGGTGAGGGCTGTGCAGCTGCTGGGAGAACTGGACGGGCTGCAGGGCTGCCAGGCTGCTGGCGACACTGTTGATGACAGGGACGCTCTGTGCTTGAGAGGTGTTGAGGCCTGTGGGAGTAAGAGAGAAAGATCAGAGACTGCTTTTGGAATAAGGAGAGGTGAAAAGATGGGAACAGACGTCAGCTGAGCCTCTGTTACATGCCAAGCTCTGGGCTGAGCCTGTCCTATAAGTAAGTGGCCACCTGGGAATCGATAGACCCATTTTATTTTCATGTTATCATAACTGATATTTTATTTCATTTTATGTACAAAGCATTGGTCTTGTTTCTTGCCATGTAGACATCTTGGCTAAGCCATTCAAGGAAAATCACTTAGTCCAACTTGATCAAGTGATATCCTCAGCATACTGAGGGGAACACTGGTGGCACATATTGTGTTTGTATGTCCACATCAGTCTGTGTCAGTTTGAACATATGTGGCAAGAGCAGGAACCCTGGTCAAATTTTCGTGGGTGACTCCAGTAGAGCTCCTGGTGCTCCATCCTGCTTGGAAGGAAGCACCAAGGCAAAAAGCAGACCCATTTTATAGACAAAGAAACTGAGGCTTAGAGAGCTTAAGTGACTATTCAAGATCTACAATGACTTGTGCATGGATACAAATTTTAAGCATGCCTAACTGGGGAGCTCTGGTGGCCTAGTGGCAAGAAGCTGCACTGCAATTCTGAAGGCGCTCAGTTCAAAGCCACAAGCTGCTCTCTGGGAGAAGGATGGGCAATCTCCTCACATGTGATTAACTGCCTCTGAAAAGTCTCTAGAGAGTCAGCTATGGGTTGGTTCTGACACTACAGTACACAACAACAACAACCGAAGCCCAAGTCATCCTATAACCAAAGTCATCCTGTAACCTACCAAACTTGGCTACCCTGGACTTAACAGAGCCTAGGGAAAGCTGATTTTACTTGTCCCTTCTGGCGGCCTATTCTTTAGTCTTATATGACTAATCTAAAGGTGATGCGTCTCTGGTGGTTTGACTCTACCAACATCTCATCCCCCCTTCAAAAATGGTCAGTCTCCTCCTGTTGGAAGGTCAGCTATGAATGGGTTCTGACATGAAAACAGTGAGTTTGGGACTGACTTTCCTTCTAGACTCTGAGAGATGCTTGCCAGGTGCCCTCAGGGCAGAAATGTGTCAACTAGATGCTGGTGGGTAAGTGGTAAGGAGTTGCTCTGCTAACACAAAGGCATGCAGTTTGAATCCACCAGCTGCTCTGGGGAAGAAAGATAGGCAATCTCCTCCATACTATCTCAAACTTAGTGCCTCTGAAAAGTCACTAGAGGGTCAGCTAGCTATGGGTTAGTTCCTATATGACGGTACTTAACAAGACGAGATCTGCGGTCCAGATCTGTCTGTCCAGCAGAGGGCAGGAGTGTGCAGGGACCTGCATTCTGATGAAAATCAACAACTTCTTTTTTTTTTTTT